TAGCTCCACAGCACAGAATGTCACTCTGACATGAAGTCAGCTGAATAGCTCAGTTCAACATCAGCAGCTGTCTCAAGCTATAATTTTTCTATTCATATATTGCATCACTTATGCTGATTCAAAGAGCCACTGCCAATGGCTGTAATGACCTAAGGTGTTCCTGTCCTCTCCTCAAGTTCCTGCATCCACAGCTTTGTTGCCAGAACAAATCAACTGCAAACTCCTAAGTTATTTCATGCAAACACATGTGGATTAGCTCAAATTACACTCAATAGCACTTCATGCTGTTGGCTGACATTATGTCGAGTGAACAGGGGAAGTTTCTCATTGTCTGGTCTCCTGGCTCAGCAACAAGGGTGAGAACCTTAACTGAAATCTAGTAAACTAATAGTTTAGAAAACCAGAAATATCAAATCTACTAGAGATGACTTTTCAATAATTTTTCTCGCTGCAACCTGAAACAGTACTTTAGAATTTGTAGGATAAGCGAACTGGTTTTGTTACTCAAGAACACAGGGTTCACCAAGTTCTTCCACAAGGCCTCTGTACCAGTGGAGAAACACACGTTTTCTCCAGATACTCATGTCTCTGAATGTGATAAATGTAACCTTGGATAAAAATTTGTGAAAGAATAAATAAGTATATAACTGTATTTGTAACAATGTAAAAATTATATAAAATATAGTGTGGCCTAAGAATTTCCCCAAACCCAGCAGTAACTACCCATTCAAGTGGTAACGACCCTAGGCGACGTTCATCAGCCTGAAAGAAAGAGCAGGACACGAACTATTAAGCTAAACAAAGAAAGGAGCCAGGCCGAGATGCCCATCGACTCCACACCCCACCGGGGCACCCCTCCCTGCAAACCCCGACTGAAGATGCAATCAGGCCAAACAATAAGAGGAGCCCAGCCGAGATATCCATGGACTCCGCACCGGACCTGGACACTTCACCCTGAGAGTCCAACCGAAGATACAATCAAGAAGCACTCAGAACCTTTCACATGCGAACGGACTCTGCCCAGTCGTCTATTGATTCAGTTCCACGGTTCCAGGAAATTAATTCAACCAGCCATCTAAACTCTTTGTTGAACAGTAACTGCTCGGAGTTCTGGCCTCAGGACACAAAATCCCTATAAAAACCCCGGACAGTCTACCCTCCTTCCTGGATTTGGGTAAATCTGTACCTCTGGGTATAGACGTCTCCCTGTCCACCCAGCGCTGCGCTGATTTATTGTGTTTTTTTTCTCTCGTTGTTTGTGACTGAAATTGTTTTATAATAAATCGCTTTTTATATTAACCCTATTTTGCCATTGCATTTATAACATGAAGAATAGATTAAAAATGTTTCTCTAACTTCCTGAACCCTTGGAAAAATGCTTCCCCACAGCAGAAGATGACATCTTACTTTCCTATCATATTAGAGGCATACTACATCAAAAATAAAGATTTAAATTGTGCTGGATTTGTGTAATCTAACTGAGCATTTCTCTTCACAGATTCCATGAAGGATTTTTCTTGGGAGACCTCACAGATCACTTTGTTCCTTACACACACAGGCTAAAGAATCTGCTGTCACTTCAAGCTCATGCATGCCCCAGGGAATTTTTACTGCCAAAACACACCTGCACTTCAGTTACATAAGCAACATCTGCATTATTCATCTACAGAGATTAAAAGACTACTTATTATAGTGACATTAATTAAAAAGAAGAAAGAAAAGGCACATATCTGGCAAGAACGAGCTACCCATGAACATCGCAATGTGTAAAAGGAGAATTATTATGGCATGTACTCATAAATACGACCCATGAGCCCAGCAAAATCTTGAATTTAGATTACTTTGTATTTTAAAAAATAAGCCTCACAGTGTAGGCAGAATATGTGAGTTTGTTGCTTCTATATTAAGAGCAGGTAAACATGAACAAAAAGGTGGTTTGGAGTCAGTTAGACAGTCAGCTAATCTTAAAGGAGGGGGAAACAGAAGAAAGCCTCCAGACTTTGATTTTGGAGTTCTATTTTAACTATTAGTTTTGGCTTCACTAAAATTGATGGCAATATGATTTTAACTATTCTTAACAAGATAGCTGTTTCAATTTTACACTTTTTCCAAGCTTTCACATGATGAAAGCCAATTGGAAGCCAATGACTTTTTATTCAAAAGCCTCTTTTACCCCTTCTTTGTTCTAAAAGGATCAAATGGGATTTTTTTATCCCACCATGTGGTTCAGAAATGATTTTGTTTCCTCAAATTTGCCTGAAGTTGGTCAGAGGATACCTTGAGGAACTGTTCAGTGAAGTGAGGCTCCCCTGAATGACATTCCCTATTTGGGTAGGCAGCAGCCATTTGTTGTCCATGGCCATATCCGCCATTTCGTCTCTGCTTCTCTCTGACTGACTTTAAAGTTATCACATCAATGTTCATTTAGACTTGTTTATAAGTGGTAGTAGCCCTTAATATCTGTTCTGTAACAACTATTCCACAATGGCCTGCTTGCATTGAAAGTTTTATTTCACATATGTGGTGACTTTGTGTGGTTTAGTCCAGTCTGAAGCGAGTTAAACCCCAAAAAAAGATTTTTAGAGTAGAAAAAGTACCCACAAGCCAAGTCAGTGCAGAATAGCTACTGCACTTTAAATTCACAGTTTATTTTTAAATTTAATTTAAATTTATTAAATTTATTTTCAAGTTTATTTAAAATAGCTTCACTTAACAAGTACTTAAAAGAGATAAGGTGGGATGTGTGTGTATGTGCATGACCATAACGGTTAAGCAGCAAACTACAGGTGATTGCTACAACTTATCTCCAGGATAGCCTTGATTATTGAGGAAACACAACCACCCTATGCCAGGCAAGAGAAAAGGGGGGTGTACAGAGATTTTGAAATACTATTTTATGTGTTTGAGTTAACGGTCTTGGGGTTTTTTTCATACTTTTATCAAACACCAGAAGTTGTATTTCCATTATATTATATAATACAGGTGTAAAAATATATGTACATGTGCCAATATACAACATATCTTTGGTCTTTCCCCACTTTCTTTTCAATCATTACTAGTCATTGAGATACACAACTTCTAAATTAACAGGAAGCTCTCCAGTAATACATTTCATAATATTTTCCTATTTGCTCATGTAGTGACCTGTGACATTGTTTTCTGAAAGAATTATTTTTGTAATTGTGCTGCTCTTTTCTTGCACAAGTAGGAGGCAAGTCAGTGCTCATTCTTTTGAACGCAGGCCTCCTACTCACAAGATGTGCCCATTTGAAGCTCTGAAGATGATTTCAACCCTGACGACTTGCTTTCAGTGCATTACACCTGCAATCAGAACACACGTCATGAGATCAGATGATACAAGTTGGGGAAAAAAGTATGGAAGTATAAATCCCCTTATTAACATACTTAATCTATCCTTCTCTAGATCACTCCAGTTCCAGTGATGTTATTTCAATTAATGTGAAATGCAAAGTTTTATATATTATGGTGGAACAAATATAAATCATTCACTTAAACCTATATTACAGTGCTATGGGTCAAGCTACAAGAGAAAGGCTTTGCCTGCCTTTATGTGAGAGGCAGAGTACAAAGTCATCAGAATCATTAGTCTGGAAGAGTTTTTCCAGGCTGAAGCAGTCACTTCAGGCTCCACAGTAATTGCCACCAACTCAGTGGCCTCTTCACAGACCTGATTGTCCTTACAGCACAGTGAATCACTACAGAATAGGGCGAGTACCCAGAATAATCATGTCAGGCAGTACCAGGACCTAAGCCTCATCCCAGGAAAGCTCTGGGTCTTGCTACAACATGTTTTTTAAGGAAAGAAACATCTTCATCTGTTTTCAAGCACAGAAATAGCACGTATATAGTAAATACATTCTATTGCACGCAACAGCAACTTTAGTGGAATTTTAGGAATAGCTATCAAACAACCTTATATCACATCAATGAACAAAATCTCATCCACTGGACATGAGAGGAGCAAACATCTCCCAGTGTCAACACAAAGAAAACGTGCCCTCAAAAACTGCAAATGCCTTCTCCCAGTACCTCAGTTTAATAAGGCCAGGTGCCAAATCCCGTGCTTAGATTATGCTCCATGCAGCACTACAGGCCTGGGGAAGAGTGACTGGAAAGCTGACTGGAGGAAAAGGACCTGGGGATGCTGGTTGACAATGGAAGGAACATCAGCCAATGTGTGCCCAGGTGGCGAGGGAGGCCAAAAGCATCCTGGCCTGTATCAGCAATAGCATGGCCAGCAGGACCAGGGCAGTGATTGTCCCCCTGTACTCAGCACTGGCAAGACCACGCCTTGAGTCCTGTGTCCAGTTTTGGGTCTGTCACAACAAAAAAGACATTGAGGTGCTGGAGCAGATCCAGAAGAGGGCAATGGAGGTGGTGAAGGGTCTAGAGTACGAGTGTGATGAGTAGCTGAGGGAGTTTTATCCTGGAGAAAAGACGACTTGTTGTGGAGAACCTCATTGCTGTCTACGATTACCTGGAAGGAGACTGTAGCCACATGAGGATTGGTCTCCTCCCAAGCAGCCCATGACAGGACAAGAGGAGATAGCCTCAAGCCATGGCAGAGGAGGTCCAGGTTGGATATTATGAAGAATTTCTTCACTGAGTGTTTTATTAAGCATTGACTGGAATCTGGCTACCTGGGGAAAGGATGGACCTGCCATTCGCTGGAGGTGTTCAAGGAACCGTACGTGGTAGCTAGCGCCCTGTATAGTAGACAATGTGGTGTTCAGTGAGAAGTTGGTCTCGATGCCCTTGGAGGCCTTTTCCAGCCTTAATGAATCCATGTGATTATGCGCTCCAGGGGCTCTGGATTAATTATAATCCATTAATGATTATCGTTAATGAATCTGTGTGATTATGCGCTCCAGGGGCTATCCTGCCACAACCCCTCACACCACCGCGGCCGGGCTCGGGGCATCGCCGCTTTAAGGGCGGCCGACCCGGCGTTTCCTGTTTAAGGTCCGCGCGCATGCGCGGGGCCGGGCGTTCTCGGGGGCGCTCGGGGCGGCTCAAGGTGAGCGGGAGCTTCGGGCTCTGAGGGGCCCCAGCGGTGCCGGGGGAGAGCCGGGGTTAGGCCTGGGGCGTGCTTGGTAGAGCTCGTACTCTCCTTCCCAGAGTCGTATCCTCAGGGATTAGCACCTCCTTGCTGCAGGGCAGGCGGGGGCACAGGTGCGGAAGAGATTGGAAGAGGCTGTTGGCATTGCCCGATCCCTGGAAGGGGAGCTGCAATCGAGCTTTACTGAGTCCCCTGATAAAAGCGCGTCCCGGGGCGGGGGAGCCATTCCGGAGGAGAGGAGCGGAGCCCCCTGCAGCCCCGGACCTGTGTGTAGCACTGAGCCCCCTGCGCTGCCCCTGCCTCTCTCGGGTTCTCTCTCCTGGGCTGCTCTGCTTGCGGCTTCCGAAACTGGTAATGACCCGTAGGCAGCGCTCTCTCCAGAGGCTCTTCGACCTTTGGCAGCACTGCTTTCTGACTTTGTCTCGGGGCATACCTGGGAACCTGGATAGTCAGTAGCTCTCTGAGATGGCTCTCATGTGGGATCCTGCAAACTGCGTAATAGGCTTCTCAGAAAACCCATCGGGTGATGCTCTTGCCCTCCCGGGAGCAATCTACATTCCGTATGTGAAATTCTGCCAAGAAGAAATAGGACTTATGTATATATACCATATACATACATTATCTTTTAAACAATTTTCATCAACAACAAATCTGTGCAACTACTTATTAAAAAAAAAAAAAAAAAAAGTTCAAGATGTGGTACCTAAAAGCTTTTTGATATTTTTTTGGCACCTAAATCTGAAAAAGTAAAGTTTATACAGTCCTATTGTATGTAGATATGAATGTGTATACTTACTGGAACTTTTGCTCTGTGCTATAGGTCAGTGAAATCTGATAAAAAGCTGAAAGATATTAGGCTTCTTGGGAATATAAAAAAAGAGATGGCTGGATCAAGATCCTACTACTATTATCTTTCTTTTTCATCTGCTTCTTTCTTGGAGGAAAGACTGGAGCCTGCACTCAGCTCTTATAGTGTGTCAGAAAATCCACATGAAGAAAATGCTATGGGAGAGACTTCTCATCAGAAAACTCAGTGATGAGACATAGAACATTAAAAAAATCTAAATTTATTGGTTCAGTTCATGAAAATACTTAGCTTTTTATGACATGCATCTTTCTCCATTCATGACAGTCAGTATTGCTTCTGGCTTGCCATTAATTAACATTCATCAAACGTAGAGCTCCTGAGTGGAGCTGGTGGAAACTTTAGTGCTTAATCCATTACATTTGCTTTTCCATTTCCATTTACCTCACCTTGCCAGTTACAGTTGTCTCTTTTTTTTTTATTTTTACCAGACATTCCCATCTCAGTTTTCTTGGTTGTCTCATTCATCGTTCCCAGTTTCTTCAGTTCTCTCTCCCCATTCTGTTTTGCTCTTCTGTTTTACTGGCCATTAAGTTGCTATTCTTGCCATGTTTCTCTGTTCTTACTGATTCCTAGTCCCAGTACTTCCCATCTTTCCTTCCTGCCTGTTCCTCATTCAGAGTCATTCTTGAAATTTCTTTCCTTGAGTTTCCTTTGAGGATCCTTGCTCCAGTCACTTTGACATCACAGTTTCAGAAGACTTCCAAATCTTGTTCTCTATTTAGATTGCCTGCCTTCTTCCTCCTTGCTGCCTGGGCCTCATACAGGACTACCTGTTCTTCCTTTTGGTTTTTGACTAGACTACGTCTGGCCTGGGCTTTAATGACTTGGAAGCAGGTGACTTGTTTTTGCAAGAGTATAGGCAACTGAAAACTCTGCTTTGTGGGCAGTCTCAGAAACAAGAAGTTCTGGGAACCAAGCCCAGAGCAAACAAACTGGAGCATTTTAGCACTGAGGAATTTACTTAACTTTTTAAAAGGAGTTGTCACATGTCTCTGGAACAGTGGAGAAAGAAAGGCAAAGTGAGACAGAAATAAGAGTAAAACTGGGCAAAAACATACTTGATACTCCCCTAAAGATACTGTTGTGCTGCTTAATGCTCCTGGAGTACTCATAGGGTGGATCAGGTGACTGGCATAGCACGATGATGTTAAAACTTGGAATTTTTACTCTGATATAAAGGGTAAAATCAACTCAGATTGGTTTTGTTTGGAAAAGCTGAAAAATAATAATTGTGTTGTCTTTTTAAAAAATAGTCAAAAGCATCCTGCACACTGGCACTATGCATGTATTGAAAAGAATTGTGTATATGATACAAATCCCCTTTATTTCACTTTAAAGAAAATCTGTTATCTTTTTCCAAAAGCTTTCCTTACTGTACACAGTGCTAAAAGATGATGCCTCTACTTATTTTCTTTAGTCACTTCTGTATTGTTTGTAATGTGAAGAAAGTTTGATTCTTACTGTGTTATGGTGTTACTGTGACCATTTGCTTGTGTCATGGTGTTTCTGACTTCCCCTTTAGGTGCAGTCCTATTTAGAGGTAAATGTCCATCTGCAGTGTTGTATTTGCTGTGGCAGCTGTCGCAGAATGAGTGACAATTCAGTTGCCAGTTTTGCTTTTTGTCCACCCACTCACAGTATTTGGAAGATCTTCAAATTCAATCAGTACACAGGCTCTTCAAACAAAAGCTGTGAAACAAGCTGGGAAATAAACAGTGCTTTTGTTCCTTCAAAATGTCAGGCATTCAAAGAAGTAGTCTGAACTTACATTGGATAATTTCTCTACTCACATCTTTCTATGCTGCTCTGTATTGCTTTGTGTTCCTTTTAGTATGTTAATATCTTTGATTAATTTTCTTTATATGTTTTTTTTCCTCTCTGTAATGATAGAAAGCAGATATTTCAGGAGTATGTTAGTCACAATAAAAATTATCTTCATCCTCTCTTGTTCAGATTGGGGTTTTGTGTTTGCATAATACACATATTTAGTTTCAGGCTAACAAAAATGGAGTCAGCAGTTTTGACAGTGGATGGCTCTGTAAGGCATGTACAGCACTTCTGCCTGCTCTGTGTGATTTTTAAACAGAGGCTCAAGCCCTCACCCATGGGTATGGATAGTATGTGTTGGGGAGTCATTTGTCCAGATTTCATTGTGAACTGTCAGATGCTGTTGGTTTATATTCACTGCATTCTTAACTCATTATTTCTGCACACAGCAGTTTGATTAGTAGTTATAAACTTTAGCTGAGTTGTGAATGTGTGCAAATCATTTACTAGAGTAGGCTTGTCCTTTTAAACTGCTCTGGATACATCTGACTTGTAAACTCTAAAGCAGAGTTTAAAAAATGCTCGTTGTATTAGCAGAAATTCTCAGATGCTAAATCAATTGCTCTGGGAATAGCAGTTGTACTACTTGAATGTAATTTTGTTGGGCAGATGTTATCAGGAAGAATTTGGAGTTTTGTTCTGAAAAATATTCTGTAAAACAAATACAGATTGATGTGCCCATGATCGCATGGGAAGTCTATAGCTGAGTATAGCTGAACCTAACGTCAGCCAGACTATTTCTTAGGCCATCCTTCCTGTTAGGTTTTTACATTATGTTCTAGAGATTGTATCAGTTGTGTGGGTATAAGATGGATTTTTATTTCACTTTTTAATTGTTAAATCCTTAATTTTCAGTGCTCATTTTTGTTTATAATCAGTAACTAGTAATTTCATTGAAGGTGGGTTTTTTTCCTTTTGTTGTAGACTGTTGTTCTACATTGTTTTGTCCAAAGAATTCTGCAGGTCACTTATTTTTCAATTATGTGGTGCTGTAAAGACATATTTGAGATTAATTCCTTGTAGCTTACCTTGTAACATCCTTAGAAATCTGGAGAGAAATGAACTTTTTAACAACTTTTCCCAAATAAGTAGTTTTTCAAGTGCGAACACAATAAAATGTTAAACCTTGATCTGTTTCTTTAACAAGATACTTGTATTTTGAGTCAGCTGCATGTTTTAAAGGGGAGGGATGGCCAGGGATGTGCATCTTTTCTCCTAATAACTTTTTAATTATGTTTTGTAGCATTCCAGACTATAGTTCTTGATGGTTTGTGAGTGCTGTTATGTAGCAATACAGACAGAAGGTTCTGTATTTTGCAATGTTCAAAGAGTAAAGATGTTAGATAAGTGGTGATTATGTACTCTTTATAGGCTCATCTTTTAGATTTGCTCCAATTTGCTGTTCTTGTCAGCAAAATAAACATTATGACAAAGATGTCAGTTATCATGTTTAATTCTTTAATGTCCTTTGTTCATGTGGAGGTTGGTTATTTATGGCTGTTGGCTGAGAATAGTAGTCACATTTTGATTTTGTATTAGAACTGAAAGCATGTGAGATCATGTTTTTTCTCCTGTTAAATTAGGGTGATTTCCTCTTAATAACTTTGGGTCTCACAGGTGCAAAATCATAGATTTGCAATCCTCTTTTAAACTGTTGAAATTCAAGGAGAAATTTTTCTGTGGAACAGATTGAGTGATGATCTCATTCTTTCTCATCTCTGGGCACTGCTAATAGAAAGAATTGCTTTTTTTTACAAAACATCTTACACAACAATATCTTTTTATCATGTACCTGCAGATTTCTATTCTGGTGTGGCTGCCTGCCTGTTATTGAGTGTCACCTGACTTGGTGTGCAAAGCTGCCTCTGTCTGTTAGGTGGGAACAGGGCATTCTCAATTGGCACAGGAAAGCAAATCAGAAAGCAAACCTCTCTCTGCCTTATAGGGACTGGTGATGGTCTTATACGGAGCTGGTACATTACAGTTTTCCATCTTTCCTGTAGGTGCTACTGTGACATTGTATAAAATCAGTGCTTTAATGAGATAAACAGGGTAACTTCTTACTCACACATTTGTTTATTTTATGCTTGAGGTCAGGTTATATGAGTCTTTGTATCTTCCTTGGGTGTGGATGCTGAAGTTGGGGAGGTCCATATTTCATCCCCAGTTTCCAAATTACTGAGTACTTTGCCTCATATTCTTTTTTCAAGAAAATTTATGTTTCAGGTCTTCAAACATTTTCTTTTGTAGAAATCCAGTGTGAACTTGTTGCAAAAGCAGAGATGATTATACAAAGAGTAGTGCTGAATTCACGGCCTGGTATGTATTTCTTTCCACTAAAGACGCAATGTGTTTGTTCTGATTGCCTAATGCTCCAAAATGGTGAAGGTAGAAACAGACACTAATTTGAGATACTGACATTTATATATCTTAATATTGCATGCAACAATAAAGTTTATTTAAAGTGCATTTATTTATATATAAATTTATTAATTTCCATTAATATAAATACATTTGTAATAATTTTATCTACATTTATTTACATTTACATTTATTAATAAAAGTAAATTGTATTAATATAGATACATTTCTATTAAATATATAGCATATATTCAAACTGCATTTATTTGTATATGCAGATTTCTAAACTGGTGAGAAAAAAGTGTTAACACGTAATATATGTGAAAACTGTAAGTATAGGGGCTGAAGGTGAAGAAAGATTAGGGAACATGGCTTTTTAATTCTCACATTTATTCTTTTTGCATTATATGAGATGTCTAAAATATTTTGTTACTATTAATTTTTGTTTCCTTGTAGTAAATATTGAATCTTTTGTTCCTCTCATGTTTCAAAGAGTTTGTTTTTTAAGTTTACACTTAAAAAAAGTTGAGGTTTTGTTTACTTTCTTGCTTACACGTTTGCCTTGTTAGGGATCAGCACAGTATTTTGAATAGTGAGTTCATAAATCTGGTGTAGAAGACATTAAGTTTTGGAGGGAGTATTGTATGCTGCTTAATGCTAAAATAGTTTTAAGAGTTAAGAACTATTGTGTGACCTGAAATTAAGTCTTTCAAATGGTAGAGCAGGAGCCTGCTCTAGCTGTGCAGTCGCTGACTTAAAGTAGGCAAGGCTGTCTGGCTGTCTCAGCACTGGTGGTTCCAGTTGTCTGATTGATCTGCTGCATGTGGTACCAACCTGAGGATAAAGCCTCTAGTTCTGGGGTTCTTACCACAGCTTTATGGATGCTTCTGGGAAGCTTTAATGTAAGGAAGTCTCTGTGAAGGGATGCCCTTGCAGCATGTGCAGTGGCTCTAGTCTGTAGTCTCTCAGTCTCACTAGGGTCAGAAGAGGCAGAAAGGTGAGAGTAGTTGGTTGTAGTTTTACACCTGAGTAAATATATAATCTAATTTATTATAAAAAGGACAACCTTTAAATAAGGCCTTCCCATACTGATAAAGGGAAGTTCTATATTAATTCTTTTATTTGTTGAATTCTAATATAATTCTAGGTAAGAATGGAGTGCCAGTGGCAGAAAACTTCCGACTGGAGCAAAGTACAATACCAGATACGGTCCAAGTGGGACAAGTGCGTGTTAAAACTCTTTATCTCTCGGTGGACCCCTACATGGTAGGTGATGGACTTAGAGCTGAGCCAGAATTTGTTTTTTAAAGTACCTTCAACTCTGTACCTGTCATGATGTTTAACACCAAAGTTACCAATTACAGAACAAACATATATGTAGTGTAACTTAGTAATTGTATTCAATCTGATGGAGTTATATTGGGAAGGGATTTGTCATTAATATGCTTGGAATATCTGGGAATACAACTTCATTGGACCAGGAAGAGACTGAACCCTGGTATGCCATTACAGATTTGTTTGCATCAGCGTTTTCTGATTTTGGCCTTTTTTATATTCTTTTTTTTTTCCAGTCATGAAAAATTACAGAAATCATGTGCTTGGGAGAATTGTGGGTTGAAATGGAAGGGAAGGTAGAAGAAGAACCAGACAGACACAGTCTGTAAAAATTTGCTATAAAGAGAATTCCAATCATTTATTCCCTCCATAGATGGTGATAATAGAAAAAAGCCAGTCTAGATTTCAAGAAAGTACAAGTATTTCCCAAGAAAGCTTGGGAATTAAGGAAAAGTTTAAGAATCCTGAAATACTACCTGTAGCTTCAGAGGAAGCTGCAAAGAAAATACATCACATTTCAGAAACAAAATTCAGAAACATCACATTTAAGAAACATCACAAGATGTTTCATTAAACAGATCTCTGTCAGGGATGGTCTACATATATTTGACTGTTCTTCAGTGCACAGGCATAGACTAAATTACCTGTGGGCTATTTTTTTCAATTCTGCATCTCTAGGACTCTGTCAGTTGAGGAATGGCATTTATAGGATTCTCATCAGACACGAGCCAGTTATTGTCAGTTGTGCTGGTGCCTTTGAGCCAACATCTGCAGAATGTGTTTGCTTTGGTAACACTGCTGGAGGAGGTCAGGATGGTTCGTCCTCCTTTTGTACTGAGCAAACAAGGGGGAAGAGGAATCTAAGAAAAGATTATGAATACTTGAATACTTGTGGCTTATTGAGAGAGATTTTTCAACAGCCCTTTGTGTTTGAAGTTCTGAATACATCTTCATCCCCCACTCAATTTGCCCTGATAAACAAATTGTGTTCCACCAGAGCCTTTCATTAAAGACTTGTCTTTCAGCGCTGCCGAATGAATGAGGACACAGGTTCGGATTACCTGCAGCCCTGGCAGCTGTCTGAAGTTGCGGATGGTGGGGGTATCGGGGTTGTGGAGGAGAGCAAGCACCATAACCTCGCTAAAGGAGACTTTGTAACTTCCTTCACTTGGCCCTGGCAGACAGCGGCAATTCTTAATGGAGACTTGCTACAAAAGGTAATACAAATGCAAAGCCCAGGTTGTGACTGATTTTTCTCCTAAACCCGTCTTTTTCCCCGCCAAACCTTTTTTTTTTCTTTCCCCCCCCTAAATAGCTGCTAATGACAGTATTTTTTTGTGAAAAACAAGCATACCTTATTGAAGCAATCAGTTCTCAAAAGGCAGATCTACTGAAAGGTGCCAAAATTTGTATCAATTTTTTTTTTTCCATAACGTTTTTCCTGGTTAACAGACAGGCCAGTATTATTTTAATTGTTTGTTTTTTTAAAAAATTCCCTGGAGCTGCTTCAGTTAAATAATTCTCTTGATTGTTTTAATTGTAATAGAACATCTTGTTCATGAGAGTTAACTGTATTCATGAGAGTAACTGTAAGACATGAAAGGCTTTAGGTTTATTTAATTTATTTTTCTAACTTATTATGTTCATAAAAGCTTTTACTTGAGGTTTTACGTTCACATAAGAAGGGGTATTCAGTATTTAGTGGAAAGTGGAGAGATTTCAGTGCAGTGGAATATTGTGTTGATTGTTCTCTTGAAACAGAAAATTACTGTTTGAATAAGTTTGAGAATTTATACTTTCCAATAAACTCCTTCCTTTAGGATTCTTTGTCACTGATCTGCAAGCACCATATTTGATAAAATGGTGCATTTTTATCCTTTATGCAAACATAGGGATAGTTCATCATTGCTGGAAACTTCCTATCTCCCAACTGCTTTTTAAAACTTCCATAATTTAAGTTTTTGTGAGTTACTTTGTATAAAAACTTTTTCTAAAACCACAGAGACATAACATTTTTGTACAAACTTGTTGTTAGAATAGAGCTGGAGATAGCTCATCCCTACCAGTTGTACCTTGCCTGTTAAATATCCTGAGTTAGTTTTCTACCTTCAGGCAATCAAAGAGCAAATCCTCACCTTAGAAACAAATGACCTACCTACGTTTCTGTTCTGTAGCTGGTTCCACAGCTTGTAAATGGACGCCTTTCCTACTTTCTGGGTGCAGCTGGCATCACAGGACTGACGGCCCTGCTGGGAATCAGGGAGAAAGGACATGTGGCCGTGGGTGCAAATCAGACCATGGTGGTGAGCGGAGCTGCTGGTGCCTGCGGCTCTTTGGCCGGCCAGGTAGGTGTAGGCCTAGGGCACACAAACATACTCTTACCAAGTTTTGTCTTCTGAAACATGCTGGTTATTAAACATACAGATAAAATTTTTGTAAACATGAGCAGGTATAACCCTGTGGGAATGGCAAGTTTCACAGATTTGGCACACATTCTCTCTGTGGAAGACTTTACATATGGAACTCAAGTTTCATGAAATAGGGAGAGGAGAAAAAAGATGGTGGTGATTACTTGTTGCTAGCATAAGTAAAATAGATGATATATATACATGTATTTATTATACATTCATATGATAGTCTGCCATTCCAACACTATTGACTGGAGACTTTTTTTTCTCTATTAGAACATAGTAATGTGGTAAACCCTTTGTGCTGTGTTCCATGACATCCTTTGTGTTTTGAGATTTATGGTCCTTTTATCTTCCTTTTGTTCCTGTTTGTAATGTGTATGTGCGTATCTACAAATACCTCTCTCTCTCTCTATATATATATATATTTAGTCAAACAAAATCAATATTAAGCAAACTTTAGACCTGCTAATAAAGAGAAGCCATGGAGAAACAATGCATGAGTAAATCTATGAAGATTGTATTTAAATCAATTATTGTCTAATTTTTTTTGCTTTTATTAGTTATGTTATGGTACTTGGCAGATGGTAGTTTTTCTACTGTATTTGGTTCTCCAGTACTGACAATCATTGGTGATTCCACAAACACAATCTTCTGCAGTCAGTGAGTTTGAAAAGATGGCAAATTTTGATTGTACCTGCCCCATGTGTAGTTGTGAGGAGGGAATGACAAGAGGAAGTTGTGTCACATGAGATGGGAGTGTTTGCTGTGTGGGGTTTAGTGGGATGGGAGTAACTGTAACACCCCTTAGGACCCCTTTCTTCCACTGCTACTTTTATGCAGATGAATGATCTAATTTGTCTTTATTGTTTGGGGTTTTGGTTGGTTTGTTTTTTGTTGTTTTTTTTTAACGGTGTGCCTGCAGATTGGCCGTCTGGAGGGCTGCTCTAGAGTGGTGGGGATTGCTGGCACAGATGAAAAGTGCTCCATTTTGGTCCAAGAAATGGGGTTTGATGCTGCTATCAATTACAAGAAGGGGGATGTGGCAAAACAGCTACATGAACTCTGCCCAGGTGGTGTGGATGTTTACTTTGACAATGTTGGTGGACACATCAGTGATACAGTTATCAGTCAGGTAATTATTCCAGCTGTCAGGTTTATTCTAGTCATTCTCCAATGTCTGCATGCCCAACATTCAATTAATTCATACTGATGCCCAGCCTGTAATACGGCACAGCAGGCTTTCCACTTCAGTGATCAACTTCAGGTGCTGATCCTGTGGGCCCACAGTAAGATAACAATTTCTTATATTCCTTCTATTTAGTGCCTTTTTAAATTACACTAGGCTGTATAGAAGTTATTTTTCCACAATTGCCTTGCACTTTTATCTATTTGAATGTTGTCGTAGATTAAATGGGACTGCACGCAGTTCTCCCACTCTTTTATAGGAAATGTGGCTAGTGAAAATTTTGCAATAACATCTATTGCATCTGAAAAATTTATTTTCTGAGACCGAGGAATGTAATTTTTCTCACTTTACGCTGTCCCAAACAGATGAATCAGAACAGCCATATCATCCTGTGTGGACAGATTTCTCAGTATAACAAAGATGTGCCTTATCCCCCTCCACTGCCTCCTGACATAGAAAAAATACAGAAAGAAAGGAACATCACAAGGTACATTTCTCCTCCAGAACTTGTGACCAGGTTCCAGGTAGATTGTTCATATGATGTTTGGAAGGTAGTCTGCAATCCTCAGTAGCTACTTGTAATCAGACCTGAATGTTGCCATCCCTTAAAAGGAAAATATAATCATGGTATCAGTAGATCCTTTCCCTTATGTTTGTCTTTATCAGCATGAAAAATGGGAAAGGACGTTGTTATTAGAATCATAGATGTCAGTTGTTATGTTCTGTTTGAGGTTGCTTGATTTAGTCCTGTAACCCCTGACAATTCTTTAGTACAAGGGAAGGTGTTGCTGTAGTTCTGTTCTCAGATGTTTTGCAAAGTGCATTCTCTCAAAATGTTGTAGTTCAGACATAAAGATGCAGCTGATGCAGTGATTTTATTGAAATTACATTTTTAGTATTTGGGGGTTTATTACATAATGGAACTGTAGGTATGACAAATATATATGGGTAAAACATTTTATTATCTTCTGACTCCAGGAATTGCTGAATGTCCTCTTAGGATTCAAATGGAGCTAAGGCAGAGATTAGGAGGACCGTCTTAAACTCTTCAGTCATTGCATTATGGGATGTTTGGGAGACTTGATTTCTGTGCAAATCAATTGATCTATTCTAATTAAAATCTTTCCTTGTCACTATTACTGTTGTCTGCCCTTCTAAAAAATGGATAAAATTAGTAAAATACACCATGCATAGTAGAATGCAGTGGAGAATTTGGTCACTATGTTCCTACAAGTAATTATCATTTTTGATCCTGATTTCATTTCTCCATTGCTATGGAAAGCCATGACAGCAGGATATGCAGAATTGTGGGGAGCCTGAAAATTTAGTTATTCTCACCATCTAGTTGCAGGTTCACTAATTATTCTCCCCACCACTGAAAACAAAACAAAACGAAAAGGTAAAAAATAATAGGAATTTGCTCACATTTTATGGATATTTCCTTATTCTGGTGATACTACTTTACTACTTGATTTTTATTACTCTTTTCTCTCTGATACTTGAAGAAAATTATCTAAGACTGATGTTACTGTGAAGCTCCCACTGCAGAAAGTTGTCACAACAAACTGGCAAAGCCCTGAGCTACATTTCTTTATAATTCGTGCTCATGACCCTTCAGTTTCAACAAGGCTGTTTTCTGAAAAGATTTTTAAGGATTTTCAAGTACATTGATCGAAGTTCCCTAAACCAAAGCTCATTATTTTCTTTCACAGGGAAAGATTCTTGGTGTTGAACTACATGGACAAACAAGAAGAGAGTGTATTACAGCTCTGCCAGTGGATCCAAGAGGGTAAACTGAAGGTGAGAACTTCTAGGTTTACTCTATGGCCTTTGATACTATCTCCTACAACAGGAAGACTAATTTCTTTGTCTCTGGCTCTCTTACTGTGCCTCAGGATTGAACATACCTTTTAAAAATGTGTAAGTATAATTAAAAGCTTATTGGGTAGTGCTGTTTTAAAAGGTACCTGCTGAGGATGGTCTGACTGTAGTATGAACTGCTCTGATTACATGCTGCTCATGTCTGTATTCTTTATTTCAGCATAGGGTACAAGTGCTTTTTTACTTAAAGATTCAGACCTTCAAAAAAATGTACTTTCAAATACCTGATGAGTTAAGAAAGAACATTTTTTTTTTTGAGGATCTTGTTGGAAATTTTACTTCAAGCTTTATAATCACCATTTGTGATCACTTTGTAATGAGTAACAATGTAATGCTTAACCATGCCTCCTCTGTGAGGTCTGTCTGAATTAATTTTTGTTTCTTCAAGTGATCAGTAATCTTCCTGGGAAAATACCAAGACATTAAATTTTGGTAGGGGCAGGGATCTGATTGAAGAATTAAACCACCTGCAAATTTATCAGAAAATATTCACGCCTCTCTTAGTGGAAGAATCTGGTCCAAACAGAGCCCTGTCTATTGTAGTGAGAGAAGTCTTTAGATTTTGGTGGTTTCTGTGGCAGTTTCTTGGCATGTTTCTAAGAAATGTGAAATGATGCTCTTGTTTGAGGAAAACTGAAATGACTTGTTTGCATTGACAGGTCAGAGAGACGGTGGTAGAAGGCTTAGCAAACATTGGTGGTAAGATATTTACATCATTTTTGAAGACTAATAACCTGATTATATACAATGACATTAGAGGTTAACTACCTCCTTTGTTGCATTTGCCAATTTTGATTTTTGTATTTTATCATAAACATTACTTTTATGTTATAATAATTTTTTCACTAATCATTAAAATGTTCTGAATGAGATTTATTGTATATTTAAAAAATCATTGAATATAAATTTAGATTTTGTTGTTCTTTTAGTACTGAGGGAAATTTATTCTTAGACTGCTACCTTAGCAGCTGCTGACAGTCATCCTGATCTTAGAGGTTTAAAGTGCTGCCCCTTTCTTCGTACTTGTGTGTGTAAGGAAATGTTTTTTTTTTAAATCCTTGAACTTCTACTTTAAAAACACAATATCTAACAGAGGTTGTTACTGGATTTGCTAACATAAAAATAAAATGAAAAGTACACACAAGAAAGGGCAAAGCAATTACTAAAGAAAGTAAAAATTAATTTCTTTTAATAGAAGAAAATGTTTTGTAACCTGTTCAAAGTATCTGTAACAAAGGAAATAGAAAAATGAAGGGGATCTGGTGACATGAGCCATGTGATCCAAGATGTGTTGTAGGAATGCTTCCCTTTCAAGAAACAGGGAAGAGTATGATTTAGTCCATTTAGTTGTTAGTCCCACAAGATTAAAAACTATTAGAATTAAGTGATCTTACAGATTTCAGTTTTTCCTAGTCATTGCTAATTCCTCCTTATTGATATACATTTGTATTTTGAAGTAATTTGGTCAAATGTATCAGTCATATATCATATTTCATACTTTGTTTACTCAAAAGTATATTTTTTGCACCAGTTTCTCCCACTATTGTGCCATATTTATAAGCCTTTTCTTTCACAAATGTTTGTGTGACCCACAGCATTTGTGGGCTTCATGCAATCATGTCTCTCATTGCTGTCTGTGTGACATATCACAAAAGCAGCAAATGTCACTGTTAACTTGTATAGGGTCAAACATGTGCTTACAGATAATTTTTTTAATTATTATGCAAAGCTGCCTTAGCAGTTTATTACAGGCTAGCTTTTTTTCCTTTTTTTTTTTTTTTTTTAATCCCCTTCTTAATTTAGTGCATCATTAAGGATAAATATGATTAGATCCAAAGTGATATCTCTCCTTTTTGGGGAGCTGCTTAATACATTTGCTTCTACCATCTTTGGTTTCTTTTTTAGAAGCTACTTGACTTGTTTTGCTTGGCGCTAACTTATTTCATTATTTCTCTTGAAGCTGCTTTCCAGTCCATGATGAATGGAGGCAATATTGGAAAACAGATCGTCTCTGTTTCAAAGTAAAAGTCATTGGTTCGAGAAAAATAATTGCATTCTGTCTCTAACAGTGGGCAAGTTTTTACTTATACTAATTTCCATTTATTAAATAAACCATTAAGTTGCTCTGTATGTACTGAAAGCAGAGATTTTGGGATACTAATAAATTAAATTGAACTGGAAACAGCAATGCAATCATTTATACTCGAAATGAGTAATACGTTCTTGACATGATTTTGACAGTTGCCACCTACACTTGCAAATATTTAATGGGTGTGGTTTGAAAGAACATCCTGTGTTGTCCCAAGCACAGGCTCGTCACCTGGTTAGTGTGTGACAGCAGTTCACACATGAAGCTGAGGAATTCCTATTTCTTTATTGTATTCTGTGCAAACTAGGAAATTAGGGGGCAACCCACAAAAGTGTGGCCCATCAAAACTTTACACTATTTACACATTTTGGCAAACAAAAAGCATTTTTTGTTTACAATTTATATGGCTTTTTCATTAATTAGTACTCAGACCCTTATTTGCCAGTTATATCTCTTGTTTCCCATGCTAGTTATTCCAAATGTGCACGTCTTCCCCCCTCATTCCATTTGGGGATCTGTTTTCACTTGGTGGCTGGGGGGTTGTGATCTCCCCTGCCAGAATTACCTTTCTCCTTACAGCTCAGTCCTGCTGACTTCACTCCAGGGGCTTTCATCCAGACAGCTGTTTTGGGATTGTGTTCCCTTTTCCTTAAAACAAAGGATTAGCCATGACTACAAGTTTCACCGTGCAATTGCTTAATCATAACTGCCTAGCTATTGCTATTGATTAACAACTAAAAACCTGCAAAGTTTGATTCAAATCTCGAGGGAGTAAATATCACAGTATTTGCTGAAGGGCTACTCCAGAGTGAGCTCATCTTTGGCACCATGAGTGGACACACCTTCCAGAAGTAATCATCCTCTAGACAGTTATTTTTCACAACTGGAACAAAATATGATAAAATTATAACATTCCCAGCACTATTAATTTTATAGGAATTGCTTAGTAATCCACACAAGTCAGGAGTCTATTAAGAGCTGTGATGTGAGGGGTGATTCAGAGTGAGATCATGCTGAGATACTGATTCTTTACCATAATAAAGGCAGCTCGATTGCAGTAGCATTCTGGTAGTTAGGTAAGCTATGGAGGGCAATACAGGTTCTAGCAGCATTAGTCAAATGGCTTTAAGGAAGAAAGATAGGGACAGTCAAAGTAAACCTCACCCTGATATCCTCAGTGTTTATTTACTATTTTCACAGAAGTATTCCTTTACTTGTGAATCCTGGTTCATGTCACCTCTTAAGAATAAAAAGCCAAAGGGAGAAGATTCTTTAAATTAAGTGCCATCAGTTATAAAATATACTGATTTCTTTTTCATATTGTCCTAATTTCTTAATAATTGTAATAGTGTGGCTCTTCAGCTGTCATATATTTTGTATGGTGAGAGGTGTCATTTAATAAAGGATGACAACTGGTAACAAAAATCCAGTATGCTTTGGAGGTCAGTTCTCATGGTAATTAGCCCACATGCTCAGTCCTTCTCTTCTTTTGGGTTGGTGGGTTTCCTGAGTCCTGAGTGGTTGTGATATCCCCACGTTGGAATTGCCTTTATCCAGTCAGCCAATTTCAGCACAATTGCTGAGTTGTCTTTATTAGTTTCTTCCTTATCTTGGGGAGTTCTGCCAGATGTCCCTGTGGCCTGTAAACTCTGCATTCTGTGTCCTCTGTCAGTAGTACATTCTCCCCAGGCTTTGCTAACCTCCTGCTGTGCCTGAGATCAAGCACAGCAAGCCCTAAACTTTGAGGCCAACAAGTATGTTGTCTAACACCTGGGCTTAGAGCTTGATTGTTAGCTGCTACCTGTTTTATGGATTTCTTGTTGATTAGGCTTGAAAATATGTAAGACCATCCTTTCTTAAGAGAAGTTTTATATATTTAACACTTTACAACAAGAAGGCAGGACCTTGTTTCATAGTCCCCTCCTGATTCCCTGTACTCTCTGGGCAAATGGTTAATTATTTCTGTCTCTTGAGATGCCAGCATCATAATCAGTCTCTTCCCTTTCATGTCATTGTTTTAGTTTCCCTTTGTTGCATTCCATGTTTTTTTAGGTCAAACTGTTCTCCTTTCCCCAAAACCAGACCCATACATCTGTTTCTTATCTCCATCAACACAGCTGGTGGTGTTCCTCAAAACATTTCAGTACCTGGTGTGGTAAAAAAAAACAGTATCTGGCCAGAGCCAAGATATTTGGTTTATTTCCTGTTTGCACCAAGATGGTTGCTAGGTAGTAATTCCACAAAGCCAGCTTGGAACTTGTGCATATTTATAAGTTTCATATTCGCCCCTCTCTCTCTATCTAATATATATTCATTTTTACTTGTAATTGACTGGCATCGTCTTTGCTAATAAGGTCTGCATCTGCATAACTGCTCATCTTTTGAGTCAGTGGGGTTCTTGAGTCCATGGTTGCTGAGATGAAAACTGAGGGATGAGACCACCCTGCTATTTGAGATGATTTATTGCTCAAGTAACCCCGATAATATATCAGTCTCAAAGGCATGAGATTTAGAGAGGAGCAATAAGTCAGCCATAGCTCAAGGTAGTCATGGGTTTCGTCTTCACACAGCAATATATAACATTTTGGTCCAGTAGACAGTTGACAAGAAACTTGTTTCTATTTAATAACCTATCCTCTTTGCTTAATTTTGCCTCACTGCATCTGTCTCTTAGCCAATAAGCTGACAGGTCATGTACTCATACACACACCTCTATTATAGCTTCTAGATCTTTAGCCTACTCTATAAGTCATTATAAGTCATTATTACAGCTCAAACCTCACATCATTTTACTTAATATAAATTCTTACTTACTCATAAGGCATATTCTTACTTACAATTATAGGAACATAAGTTTATAATTTTTCTACTTATTGTTTGTGTACCTTTATCATTACATTAACCCAAGCTCTTTCTAAGGCTGCAGATTGAACCCTTCAGCATCTGTGAAATTTTCCATTTTTCCATTTCCCACACATGGTCATGATCTCTCACTGACAGAATTACTTTTCCTGTAAGGACACCATTTCCGAGCCAAAGAAGTTCACCATCGTGTTTACCTTCTTGATTTAAGATGGGCCCCATAGAACCTATTGGCTGGGGTCCTTGTTTCTTTGTTCCTCTGATCTCTTTAGGTCATCTTGACTTTCTGGCAAAATCCAGCAAATTTTTCTCTTGTAACTTATACAGCACTGCCACAACTTCTAGGAAACAAGTACAGTCTTTTATACAAAAAGGCGTCAAGGGAAGGGTCATACAAACACTGACGAATAGTCACCCATGCTTCATCACTGATGCCTGTGACAAAATTACTAATGCACATGTACAGATCTTGGTCCAGTTCATTATCATTTACACAGACAAATTTTCCTGGAGGGATGTTTTTGAGTATTACAGCAATCTAAGGTAATTCTAAGTTACATTTTCCTTCTATCAGCTATCAAGTTACTATTTAACTTTATATTCTATTACAGTTTCTCCTTGAGCCTCTTTGAAAAATTGCTTGTTAACTGAAGAAGGATTTACAGTATTCTGTTCTGGCCTCTTCACAAAGCATTCCACTCCTGAGGACTCTTCACTGCTCCACTACTCCAGTCCCTATTGCTATGGTTTCAAAACTGCCCTATAGCTGCTAGGGGCTTTTTGTGAACTTTTATGCATTTCTAGCTTCATGTAACATCATGACCACAGTAAGGAAGTTCAGCTACAATCTTTATACATAAGCATTTACAAAGGGTAATAAAATGTAAACAGTAGTCGGCAGAGATGCCTTTTTTTTCTTACTTTTGGTTAAGCCAATCTTCTGCTTTGTATTTATTAGTCTTCTGCATTCCCGTTTCCATCCCATCTCCCTTTGTACCTTGAAGTATTGTTATTGTGTGCCCTATGTTTCATTTTCTTCCCTTCTGCTTTCTTCCATTCCATTTTCATTCCTTTCCTGATTTTTTGGTTTGTTTGTTTGTTTGTTTTGGGGCTTTTTGTTTTATTTAGTTTGGTTTTTGTTTTCACTTTAGTTCATCTTGTTTCTTGTCCTCCTTTTTGGCTTCTTCACTGACAATGAGAAAAACATGGTGTTTCTCATAAGAGCACCTATTAGTGTTTAGTGCTAAGCTGTGCACTTAAATGTCAGGATTTGAATTCAAATGTCACCAACACCATGAAAAGACCTTTCCAGCCCAGACATAAATGTTTCTTACTGCTGTTGTTACAAAAGTGAAGAGACCTGAGGCAGATGCCTTTCAAATAGCTTAATCTCTTCATTCAATACTTCAATGCATTGATTGTGGAAGAAAGTGTAATATTACTTAGTCCTGTTGCTAACGTTGCTCTTCTCTTTTGCTATACTACCTTTCTCTTAATTGGCTTCTCTTCACAGTGGGAAATGTTTATATAATCCATAAATAGACTACCAGGGGAGAAAAGAAGACCAAAGACAGATGGTATTATCCCACAATTAGAAATGGTAGCAGCAGCTGGAATAAGCATCACATAGAGAAAATACTTTGTGAGACAACTCAGAACTCTTTAGGAAAAGCACAGAAAAGCAGAAAGGAGACACGATGTTTTAGCCACACTAACACAGAATTTTGCAACCAGAAGTGTAGATGCAAAGTAGTAAGATAAAAAGTACTGAAGTTTAGTTTTGCTACGGTACTCTGGTCTGGGTAGAGTGAGAAGAGTGCTGTATGTGCAACAGATCCTATTCTCTGTGTCTCTCCTAGATCTGCCCTATCTGGCAGGATAGCCAGCAGGAACCAAGAAACAAGGCTTCAGTGAGGAGAAGTGAGAAAAGGGTGATTCCATAAATCTGCAAAATAAGTGTGAAGCAGAGGAGGATAGCTCTATAAATCCAGTAAATGAGGAGATAACATAGGAACAACTGCCTGATAAGACCAAAGAAGAAATTTGCTTGACTTTTGTACCAACCTTTAGCATAGTAAAATATAATCCCATCAGCCACTTTTCCCTAGAGCATGGGTGGCAAAATAAATGAGTAATGTGCCTTTAAATGAAGGCAAGAAAATGTATAGCCAATGATTGCAAAGGTTCCAGGGGTTGGGATATATAAAAGTGGGTCCTGGCACTGCAGTGTG